TATATATATATGGTGCGATGGATAAATTATTGACTAAATTAAACTAAAATCACATCATTTTAAAAGGTATATTTCTAAAATTATACAATAATATGTCCCATTTCGTGGTGCTGCAATAATGGTTAGCAAGCTTTTTTCGCTAGATCAAGTACGACTGAATAGTGAGTTCGATCCTCACCGGGCGCATCAAACTTTCGACCTTATACTATATCTAATCTACGGTTGTAAAAATCCTTACGGGCATTTCGTGGTACTGTCATGATTAGGGGTTTTTTCTGGCGAGATCACACTTTAGACCTTATGCCACATCTAAGATCGAATAATTCTAACTCGCTCAATCAAGTACGACTGAGTAGTGAGTTCGATCCTCAATGGCTGTTCCATACTTACGGACACATCTAAGCTACGATTATTAAATCACTATATATAGGATAGAGAGAGAGACAGAGAGTGAGACAGAGAGAGAGAGTACATGAGTGAATGAATGTGTGTACATGTGAGAGAGAGAGAGAGAGAGAGAGAGAGAGGAAATAAGAGAGAGAGAGAGTGAAAGAGAGAACACGATAAGTAAGTCCCATTGGCGGAATATCAACTTATTAACCGATGTATGCAGAATCTGACAATATTAACGAAGCTCTACGTAAATCTAATAACTTTACTTCAGTCTGAAACAAGATGAGAATTGTTGATTATTCTGTGTGGATCGCATTCTCCAGCAACGGGAAGTCAACCCATTATTGTTTACTTGATGATGCCAGAAGGGAGAATTCAAGCAGGGGGTCGGAAAATGTCGAAGTAAGTGACGATTGAGATTAAAAACGAAATCTCGAGTGGTTGTCGCGTTCAAATTTCAGAAAGTGTTTAAAAGCTTTCGGATCCATTATTGGGCACCTGAAGGCGATTGAGAGACTTTCCATTATCCCCATCTGGTTGATGAGGAGGGGTTCTCCAAAGAACACTCTAGAACTCATTTGAATGCCTCACATCCAATCTCTCTTAGATCAGATTGTAAAATCGATGAAACGACACTAAACATCTTCGTTCTTTTCAGCCAATCAGAAAAGTCTATTCTAAATGAGGCCTGGTATTCAACACATTACACGGTCTGAATATATTCATCTTTGAAGCTTTGGTTACGTCGATTGCACCGATAAGTTATTTAGCTTTTGTCTTGTGACTTGGCTTTGTAGACTGCCTTAAAAAAATAAGGCAACTTACAGAACCAAGTAATTTTAAACCAAATTTACAAAGCGAAAAAAAGCCTGTCCGAAAAGCCTGAAAAGTAACAGAGCTTATCCGTTCTTCTATGGGAGAGGCATTGTCCACAATGAGTTCTTGCCACTGCGCGAGATGATCAATCAGTAAGTTTACAAAGATCCTGTGGCGTTTGATTCGCTCCGTGCGCGAGCCGAAGCGAGCGTTGTGGCAGGACAAATAGGGTTTAATCACGAAATTGCCCTTACTCACAACGCCCTCAGCATCCGGCAGTTCATGACAGAGAAAAACATTGCCGTACTAGAATAACCTCCCTATCCACCTTATCTTGCTCCGTGTGACTTTTTTTTTCTTTTCCCCAAGTTCATGGGGATCATCAAACGTACCCGTTATGAAGGCGTGAGATCCATCAAGTGGACCGTAACGACAGGCCTGTGGGGTATCCAAGAAGAATCAATCAAGCGCTGTATAGAAGTGTAGCAGAGAAGGATGGAAAGTGAATTAGACTTGAGGAGGTTACTTTGAAGGGGAAACCATGTAGTTTGTTGTTTGGAATTGAAATAAATTATTTGTGACACCAGTCCCGTTACTGACAGATCACCCTATATTGAAATCAAAGGAGACAGGACGAAAGAAGCGAGTAACCTCCTTGACGGGTCTGAGTAAATAGGTAGAATTACTGGGATTGAGAGAAATGACAATAAGACAAAACTAATTAAGAGCTAGAAAGGGTAGGAAGATGGGGAGCAATGATCGGCCACACACAGTAGGGACACGTCACATAGAAGAAGAATTTAAAAGTACCCTCAAAGTGATCATTGTTAAAAATACTATAAATCTTTCAACACTAATATATATTCTTATATGTATAAGAACGTATACGTTGACGAAGCCTACTTGAAAATGTTCAGTAACATAAATATAATCAACATTTGGTTTCTTTTATGAATTACATTGTTCTTTCATTGTCAAATAAAAAAAAGTTGGTAAACCACCTAGACTCTGACTTCCAACCTTGGAGAAGGATATATTCTCGTATATATTCGCCAAGGGTACAGAAATCCAACTTTTGGCATCATGGTGCGGGATTAACATAATTAAGAATTATCGTTCATCTTTAGTACTTGTGGAGAGACTTTTTTTAAAAAAAAATATATTGATAATTCGATTGCGGTGTGTTTAGCGTTTCCTTAACTACTATCTTGCAGAATCTTAATATTGCCAGAACTTGGTCGTGCACAAATCTTAAAGAGAATTACTCTGCGATGCGATTGAAACAGATAAA